AAGCTATTCAGGAGATAAAATTTATTTAAAAATGTCAAGCTTTTTCATGGAACGAACGGTTCCTAAACACCTAATATTTCTACGCAATGCGATTGCTGAGTTTAGTTAGTTCGTTTCAGACTGAAAAGAATCTGTCCACGCGAGAGTTCTGACATAAATAGCAGTTTCTGTCGAGCCTTGAAATTGAATTGAGTTCATCTTGTCTGAAAAACGACTTTTATCTAAAAAAGTTAGAACATTCCAGACTTTAGATTATTTGAAAATAATAAAGAGTGCTGAACTGTTATGTTTATGAAATGACCATATAAATTGAAAACGACTTACAGTTTATTTAAAAAAATTTAAAAAAACGTTAAGAAAAATTACTTAGAAGTGAAAAAATTACTAAAAAATTAATTTTAAAATAACTTGAATTTGCTTAAATAAAGCATTGCGATTGGAATGTTTTGAGCTATTTGCTTAGCAATCTCCTGTCATTGATCATATTTTAACTCAGTTAAAGTGTTAACTTTCAGAAATATACCCTTACAGTGTTACGGAAATATCTGGTAGCTCTTCGAAATAAATAAATGATAACTTTCTCATACTTTTGAGCAAAGTAAGGCAGCTGGTCGTCTATCTTGATCACACCGCATAAATCTTGATGGAACCTATGCGCGCCAACTTGACTAAACCAAGGAAGAAGCAGAACAAAAGGAGTAATAAATAATTTATTCTATCCGAATCAAAAACAAGAAAAAGTTTACGATTCAAAGGGAATGCGTTTGCTAAGAGTTGTTCTTGGCGAACACTGCTTCGTCTGGACTACACTTTTGGATGGACTTTTTGCTCCCGTGTCTCCCAAAATGACTAAGTTGCCGTAATAATTCCACTTAAAACCCTCGGGTAAGAAATCTTTAAAATTGAAACCGATTCTTCAAAAACTTAAATGCTTCCAAGTGTTTAGAAACCAAACCGCAGCTGAATTTTTGACAAAAACTGAAATTGCAATTTATTGATAAGTTTCGAAACTCGGCAATAATTCTAATCTTGAAACACATTCTTCATAGCATCTGCAGTAAAAAACAGCTCAATTTTCCAATCGAATATATGGAGAAAACAGTAATTAATACGACAGAATTCAAAAAAGATGACGAAGTATATTCAAAGATTTCCCGAAAAGCCCTTTGCTTCCAAATTACCAAAGATATGCTCTCCAGCGTTCTTCCCAATATTCTGTCCGGAAGTTTGGTTCTCAGTTTGATTTGGGGTTTTGTGTACATTTTCTTCATTGGCGTGTTAGTTTTTCAAACTGTCGAAACACTTACCGAATACTTTTCACACCCAGTTACCGTTCTCATAAGTTTGGAAACTACCAATGGTGACGTAGCGTTTCCAACTGTCACTCTCTGCAACAATAATATATTACGTAAGTCTTACGTAAAACGCGTTTCGTACCTGCAAGACCTGGCGTTTCTGGATCGGTTCGCCCAGTCCAGTCTGACCAGAGAACTCAACTTCACTGGATCAGAGTGCCATGGCGATGAATTCAAGTGCCAGGAATGCAAAGATTTGACACCAAAAATGTTACGACCAAAAAAAGCATGCATGTAGAGCATTGATAAAATCAATTTTCCAATCAAGAAAAACAAAAAAATAATTTGCACTTTAACAATTACTTAATTTAAACACTAAAAGAATTTGAGCTGACTCGTGAACTGTTGTTTGATTCAGTTTTTGGACAAAAAAAACATCTACTTTACTATAACTTTTGTTGTGAAATTTCACTAGAACCTTTTTTTTGTGTTAAAATAATCAAATTCTCAAACCTCAGGCTGTACTCGAGCGAGCTCAAAATTTCCATCGCACTTAAAAACAACCTCGACTAGCGAACGTTCAAATCTCCTCCATCATAGCCTCCCCAGTTAAGTACAGACCCCCCAAAACACAAACTGTTTTTTTTGGAGGGCGGGAAGGGGGATTTTTTTTTGTTACAAGGGAGGGGGATCTAATGGGAAAGACCCGAATTTCCTCAAGTACAATTAGTGTCCATCAATTTTCTTAAAAAATACAATTGGTGTCCAATTTCTGCTCCAAGAATCAATTGTGCATCAACAAGGCGTGGGTATGCAACGGTCGGTCAGAGTGTGAAGACTTTTCAGACGAAGCCCCGGAGGTTGCCTGCGAAAATTATGAACGACACAATGCTTCCAAAGGGCTCTTTTCTTCACTAACACTCTTAGTCTTTAAGGCAATCTGAAATTACTTCCAGATGCTATGTCTTTACGTAAACTAACACTAGGAATTATCGCCGAGTGTGCTTTATGGCAAAACAAGAAGTAAAAACAGGAGCTGATTTAAGGGGGGGGGGGGGGGTGGAGGGGAGGCAGGGGGGCTGTATTTTAACTAAATTAAGAAGCATCTTTAAAAACCTAATCATAAGACTTACAAGTGAAACTGGACTACAAAACCATTAGCGTTTCTTAAACTTTTTATGCTTGTTTAAAATTAGTAATCTCTCTGGTGGCATATAAACGGGCGAAGCGCAAGCCAGCCGAAATATCAACCAGCCGAAATATCAACCAGCCGAAAATATGAAAGTTATTCAACAATTATATGACAGTTACAAAAAACATGCAAATTTCATTCATATGACGTAATTTTTCGGCTGGTTTATATACTCTGCGCATTTTCACTTTAGCTTGATTGAATTGATACTCTTTGTCAGGGTAGAAATTGAGTGGCATTTAGCATTCCCTAGTCCCATCCCCTCTAACTGATGCTCGCTGATAGATATTTTGAATGTTTCGAGTTTCATTAGTTGATAATTGCCTGAAAGCTTGTATTTTCAGACAATTATAGAGCAACGACATTAAGAAACGTTGATTGTTTTTATAAATTTTTTTTAAAGCTGCAGAAAATTGCTGTCACTGATAAAAGATGCCAATGACACTGACCAAAGACGCTTATAGAATCAATAGTCGTCATAATGTTTCAATTTAGTTATCTCTTTACCCTGGCATTTCAAATTTAAACTTGATTAAAAAATCGTGAACTTAGTTTAACGATGAATCACCGTCGTCTTTTTTTTGCTCACTTAAATCAAAAACAATTGTGAATTAGGAAATCATCCCGAAAAGAGCCATTTAAAGTATGCGTGGACGACTATATTCAATGTCCACAGGAAATAACATGCGCAGCGAAATGCGACGGACTCAACGAGTGCATCGCGTCCCAGGGATACGACGAATCGGAAGCTATCGGGTGTCCCAACTCGTGTGTCAGAGACCTAAACGCAACCGATAGGTTGCAGCAATTGTCTTCCCCGAATTTTCCGGATGATTATGGCGGAAATTTGAACTGCATTTATACAATCAGGGCCGAAACTAACCAACTTATCGAACTGAAATTCCAAAATTTTTCAATGGAGCACCATTCGCATTGCGTGCACGACTACATGATGATCCGCGATGGGGACAAGAAATCAGAGTACTGGGTAGAAATTAAAAGAACGAACACCTTCTGTGGCTCTTTGCGGTCGAAAGGTTGCTGCTATATTAGAATATGTTTACATTTTTTAAATTATTTTTTTTTCAGAACAACTTTTAGTAACTGTATGGGAAGAATTACATCTGAAATCATGTCTACCTTTTCGAATAATTTTGGAATCCTATTGAATGCGATATCCCATTAAAATCTTTTTAGCCGTGACTGGGATTCCAAAAACAAATAGAAATATTTGGACCGAGAATTTTTTGGACTAACGCAAAGAATTTGATTTGCAGACAACTTTACTTGGTACTTGAGGTTCCGATGCTGCTTTTGCATTGCTTAAACCATAATATTTTGCCACTTATTTGTTCATTTTAATTTTATATTCTAATATTGTCGTGTTTACCGAAATTTCAAAATACTATTTTTTATATTTTTTTTTTTGTGAATTTTTAGTTTTCTGTTTTTTATTGTAGTACTACAATAAAAAACAGAAAACTAGAAATCATGAAAAATTATAGCAGGAAAGTCTTATATTAAAATTTTCCTCTTCAAATAGGTGTTCTATTACCTATATTTACCGATTCTAATATATCACCTCTTAAGGCTTCGTCCTCGACCAAGTTATCTCAAGAACGAACACGGTTATCATTTACTTCGTGACCGATATGACTGAAGGCGCCAGTGGCTGGTTGTTAACATACAAAGCAATACCAGACTCAGAAGACGCTACGCAACCAAAAAAGGTCGAGCAGCCAAGTAGGAACAGAAGGTCCGCGGAAGGCGAGGACCTATACGAATACAGGGATCTACTTTTTTAAATCATCTTGTTCAACTTATTTATTAATGCATTGTTCCGACACCAAAAATGGGGAGTAACTTTGAATTCGGATGTGCTTAAGTGTTTTCTTTTTATTTTGTTTTCCACGCAAAATCAAATTTACCATCGGATTGGGGCAAATGATATGTCAAAGCCTCGTGATTGGAACGGCACCAGCAGTTTTCAGAAAGTTGTCCCAGTGTTGAGAAAAATTGGTTTCAAATTTTTTAGTCTAATTTCGAGTGAGTAAAGCGATCGAGTAACGTTCTTGATATGAAAGTTAAAGTTTTACTAAGACTTTACGGCTACAAAAACTTGATGTTAACTAAGACAAAACTAGGTTCGGAAATTTCATTTAGCGCTTCCTTGGAATAAAAGGTTTTCTGAAAAAGTTTAAAAATCAATTTTCTTTAAATTTTTTGTTTCTCATTCACAAGTGTTGTCAATTAGGTCTAATTTTCTAACTATAGACAACTTTGGATAGTTCTTTATCACACTACACACTAAAAACTACTCCAATTGAAGAGAAAAAAAATTTTTTTTTGTAGTTTTCTTATGAAAATGATCGGAACATTTTGTGCTACTTGCACAGCAACTGGCTATTCTCATTTATTATGATTATCATGATTATTGTGCACTTAGTAAATGGGGTTGGGAAAAGTAGATTTCTTGACACAGTGAATATGTTGAAAATGGCCAAGATTATGACTATGACACAATTGGATCCGGACTTGCTGCTGGTTCGACTTTTGAATCCGTCCGACCATATGACTGGTTCGAAGCGTTCCAAAATTCATTAATGCCGGATTTTTCTGACTTCCAAAAACTGGTTCGGTTCACGAGAGCCGAAACCATCGGAAATGGACACCTTAAAGAAGACTTCATAGTCCAGTGTAACTTCGACAACCAGCGCTGCGGTCCGGAGAACTTTAAAACTGGCCAATTTGACAAACTCGGCAACTGTTTCAGTTTCAACTCAGTTCAACATGACATTTCAGTTCCTCCTCTCAATACCAGCCAAACTGGTGCAAGTTTTGGACTTAAACTTACACTTTTCATCGACAAAGATGAATACTTGGGAATTGCCGGCCAGTTTTCAGGCGCAAAACTGATTATTTCGAACCCATACGAGCACCCGTCCAGATTTGCGGAGAGTATCAACTTGGCTGCGGGAACTCTGACAGTCGTCTCCATGCACCAAGAGCTCCTATCTCGTCAAAGCAGTCCATATTCTACATGTTCGCAGTCTTGGCCTGAAAATCTGGAACTGAACCACATGAAAGACCGCTTCGATTACACAGTACCGTTTTGTGAAGATCTCTGCATGCGGAATTACATCGCGACCAACTGCAATTGCTCTTGGGATCCAGATCGCATATACAGCAGCAACCCCGAAATAATTGAGAGATCAAGGAACCAGTGTCATATATGGCGCCCAGCTCAAAGAGCCTGCATCGAAGCAAGCGTTCAGCAATTTTTGAATGAGATACAATCCTGCCGTTGCAGTCAGGAATGTTCTAAAAGGAAACTGAAATTCTACTCGTCCACCTCTGAATGGCCTTCGGAAGCGTACACTCCTTATTTGGCAATGCTGCTTGAAAAGTCTCATTCCACCGCTGTGTTCGACTTTGTCATGAAAAGCCTTGAAACCTCGAGGGGACAGAATGTTGTACTGAAAAGCATTTTGCAGGAAAACTTCGTCCGGGTTGAGATTCATTTTATTACTCTGGATTTCACACATATCGCTGAGGTTCCGAAATACAACATGGCTATGCTATTCGGTACCTTGGGAGGGAATTTGGGGCTGTGGCTTGGGTGGAGCCTGATGACACTCTTCGAGATGTTTCAATGGGTGTACTTCTGTGCCAAAATTGCTCTGAATCAAAAATGACCCATCTTTCTTGTTAGTCCCCCAGCCACTAAGTTAAATTTTTTAAGGACATTGTTAAGTATAGTTAATGTAAACTATCAGTATTTTTGAGACATTTTAAATCATTTGACACAAGGGCGGATCTAGGATTTTCTCGATGGGGGGGGGGGGGGAGTGGGAAGGTGAGTGGTATTTTAAAAAGTTTTAAAATACCACCCTCAATATTAGTGTACATTGGCGCCAATGGAAATTTTTAGAGTCGGTCGGTCGAAAATGGATGTACGTCGTAAACTAGTACCACGTGGGGGCTCCTTCGGTTTGTGAGGGAATCGAATCCCTGAGGGGGGACGTAGCCCTCTGAATCCACCCCTGATTGGCATAAAACACGCATACTCAACTCTAATTGAAAATACATTCAATCAGAAAACAAAATAGTGATTCTCATTTTCCTATTTAAAATTAACTTTTTGTTAGCTGGGAACCAACATAAATCATGCATATTGACAAGTTGCCGTCGGCTATTACTCGTGTATCATTTGTTTGCAATTGAGTTGAACAGGATTTAAAGAACGTTTAAACTGAGATCAATTACTCAAACAGTCTGGAGTGAACGAGTGTGAGTGTGTTTTTAAAGCGTGTTTTCTTTAAAAAATATATATAATGATCAAGGTGATTGGATTTACCCAAAATGTATTTAGGCGCTAAAAGGGGAGATGCTTATAGGCAATCAATCGTCAACCACAAATATTATGAATAGCGCAAACAAAAACACCAAAGGAAAATCTACTAAATACATATGGTTTGATCTAAACACCAATACGCATCCCGCATCTAGCAAATTTTCTAATTCAAATCTGAAACAATCTTTTTTAGATCTAAACTTCAGATCTGAAATGGGCTGTGAAGTGTTTAAATTACGCTTCGATACTTTAAGGATGGGCAATTTCAGATCTAATTTCAAATCTGAAATTTTGTTTTTCTTGGTTATTTCAGATCTGAAAAATCAATGATTCCGTCTCAATTTTTACCGTTTTTGATTATTTAGTATATGACAGCTTCTGCTACTCCAACTGAGACTGTCTAAATAAGTTTCCCCAAGCATGAGATAAACATTGGAAACGCATAATTAGCGCATGAAAATGAAACATTTGATGTTTTTAACAGTATTTGAAAACATTTTATTACAATTGAACCAAAAATTTACTTGAAAAAAACTTAATTGTGTATTGCACAAACATCAAAAAATAAAATTTATAGGTGTACTCGAAATGCATAATTTATAATTTAACAAAACGTTTTTCAGATCTAATTTCAGGTCTGAAGTTTTGTTTTTCAAGATTATTTCAGATCTGAATTTTTCTATTTAAGATCCTAATTTCAGCTCTGAAATTTTAAAGATCCTATTCAGATATGAAATGATCAAATTCAGGTCTGAGAATCAGCTAGTGTAATAAATAAAGAATTTCAGATCTTGCACAGAAAATCCCCTGGGAACGGGATAGTATACATGTTTTTAAAACTACTACAGTTTTGAGAAATTTTGAAAATCTGAATCTCCATGAAATTGAGTTACCAAGAAAAAAGCTTTGAGTAATATTTATCTACGGAAAATATACAAAAAGATACGAAACCCCAGAAGCTGTGAAGAAAGTTAGTTTCTTGTTTTTGATCTATGCACCATTCCAAATCATGCTTTCTCTTTGCTCTCAACAAACCAGTTTCCTCGTTCGCAAAGTGTGTTTTGTTTTTGTGGACTGACAAGTTTTTATAATATTAAACATAGTCAAAACAGATAATTATAAAAACTTTGATGGAATTTTGTTGTAGCTAAAGCTCAAATTTATTCTATGTTATCTAACATTTTGCAATTTTGCAATAAATTTTTTTTTTGTTTCCATTTCTAATTTGCTAAATCTAAAGTGTTAGTAAGTCTTGTTCGGACTTTTGGTCGCACCAGATGAGTTATGCCTGGAGAAGAGTACTCATAGAATAATTTCAGATAAGGTACACCGTCTGTTCGTCAACTATCTTGTTTTCGGCGGCATAGATTCGTGCAACTTCTTAGTCTAGTACCGATCGTAATCTTACTCTAATATTTCCTAGTCTCAATACATCTAGGTATACTGGTATTTGCAGGTTAGGTATCTGGAACTGGTCGTATTGAGTTTATTTGAGTTTTACGCTACCCGGGCGACCAGTTTCCGTAGGAGAGAGAAAATTTAAATTTACCTATTTTTTACTTAAATGCGTCAAAAAAAGCGAAATTTTTCTCCCCTTATATCATGTCAGGTGAAGACCAATTGGGTCAAAAACTACGTTAATTTAACATTTTCCAAATTGTCATGCTCTCACGCTCCACAAGTAGCTCCGATTTTGAACGGCCTTCTCAACATTTCTCCATGACTTAATGGCTGGCATTCGAGGTTGGTTAATAACATCGAGACAAGTGACTTCACTTTAACGTTACTCGAAATGACATGTATGGCCCCTTCAAGCTGTTCAACGCAATCGATCACTCAAAAAATTGTCAACCTGTGGGACAACCCGGTTCAAGTCGCAAAATGGCTCAACTTGCCAACAGAACGTGTTGCACCTTGAGATTATTCCTCGATTTGTTTTACTTATCAAACACTGCCAACTAGATATATTGAAAAACTATGAGTTAAATGAATACTCCTGTTTGCTTCTATCAAACAACAAAAACAACAACAACACAGATTCCACTCTCTCAAAATATAAAAACTGGACTGTAAGTTTAAGAGAAGACCCGAACCGAGCGCAGATGGTTCATAATCGATTATATTGTCATAATATGGTCAGTCTCTGTAAAATGACAAAAAATCGATTAAAATCCATTAAAAAGGATCATAATCCTATCATTTTTTTGTCAATATAATCCATTATAATCGATTATAATCCATTAAAAATGGATTTTAATCCTTATATTTTTTATGTCAATAAAATCCTCTAAAATTGATTATAATGGAATTACTCAAGGGGTTGTTCATAAAAATAACAATTTTTTTTAAAAGTTATCTCATTTCCCGTGTATTACAGTTGCTACGCATTACGTTTCATGAAATGTTACATTTCACAATAAAAGTTTTTTTTTTACTCTTCTTTTTAAAATCATCGCAATTTAACACTTCATATTATTTTTTACCACAACTGCCCCCCCCCCAGTTTTGCGCCAAATGGTGCACCTATCTAAGGCACAGTCTGGCCTCGTATTGAGTTTATTTGAGTTTTACGCTATCTGGGCGACCAATTTCCGTGAGAGACAGAGAAAATTTAAATTTTCTCTTTCTCACGGAAATTGGTCGCCCAGATAGCGTGAAACTCAAATAAACTCAATACGAGGCCAGACTGTGCCTTAGATAGGTGCACCATTTGGCGCAAAACTGGGGGGGGGGGGGGCAGTTGTGGTAAAAAATAATATGAAGTGTTAAATTGCGATGATTTTAAAAAGAAGAGTAAAAAAATGTAAGTTTTATTGTGAAATGTAACATTTCATGAAACGTAATGCGTAGCAACTGTAATACACGGGAAATGAGATAACTTTTAAAAAAATTGTTATTTTTATGAACAACCCCTCGAGTAATTCCATTATAATCAATTTTAGAGGATTTTATTGACATAAAAAATATAAGGATTATAACCCATTTTTAATGGATTATAATCGATTATAATGGATTATATTGACAAAAAATGATAGGATTATGATCCTTTTTAATGCATTTTAATCGATTATTTTGTCATTTTACAGAGACTGACCATATTATGACAATATAATCAATTATGAACCATCTGCGCTCGGTTCGGGTCTTCTCTTAAACTTACAGTCCAGTTTTTATATTTTGAGAGAGTGGAATCTGTGTTGTTGTTGATTTTGTTGTTTGATAGAAGCAAACAGGAGTATTCATTTAACTCATAGTTTTTCAATATATCTAGTTGGCAGTGTTTGATAAGTAAAACAAATCGAGGAATAATCTCAAGGTGCAACACGTTCTGTTGGCGAGTTGAGCCATTTAGCGACTTCAACCGGGTTGTCCCACAGGTTCACAATTTTTTGAGTGATCGATTGCGTTGAACAGCTTGAAGGGGCCATGCATGTCATTTCGAGTAACGTTAAAGTAAAGTCACTTGTCTCGATTTTTTTAACCAACCTCCAATGCCAGCCATTAAGTCGTCGTGAAATGTTGAGAAGGCCGTTATAATTCGGAGCTACTTGTGGAGCGTAAGAGCCTGACAATTTGGAAAATGTTAAAGTAACGTAGTTTTTGACCCAATTGGTCTTCACCTGACATGATATAAAAGTATGACTGCCTTTCTTTGGCTGTATGAGCGGCTTGCCTCACAGCATGTCACAAAATAATAAGTCGATACTTATCAAAAAAGTTTTAAAACTGGTTATTTATTAAAACGACCAACATTTATGCCAATCTTGTCCTTGAACAATATTTGTTCTGGTAAATTAATTATATTGTAATGAAATGAATTAATTGTCAATATTTTTAACACATATCTCTGCTGATCTGCACGTCTGTCGTATAAATCTGACAATACCTGTGCACTACTTTGTTCTGCTGCTCCTAAATTAAGCACTCACTACAGACTTAAATTGAACACCCGTAGGGGAGAAAAACTTCGCATTTTTTGACGCATTAGGTAAAAAAGAGGAAAATTTGAATTTTCTCTCTCCTACGGAAACTGGTCGCCCGGGTAGCGTAAAACTCAAATAAACTCAATACGACTAGTTCCAGATACCTAACCTGCAAATACTAGTATACCTAGATCTATTGAAGGTTGACTGCAAATTAGAAATGGAAACAAGATCAAAAAATACACTACAAAATTGCAAAACGTTAGATAAAATAGAATAAATTTGAGCTTAAACTACAACAAGATTATATCAAATTTTTTATAATTATCGGTTTTGGCTATGTTTAGTATTATAAAAACTTATCAGTCCCTAAAAACAAAACACACTTTGCGAACGAGGAAACTTGTTTGTTGAGAGCAAACAGAAAGCATGATTTGGAATGGTGCATAGATCAAAAGCAAGAAACTAACTTTCATCACAGCTTCTGGGGTTTCGTAACTTTTTGTATATTACCCGTAGATAAATATTACTCAAAGATTTTTTCTTGGTAATTCATTTTCATGGAGATTCCGATTCTCAAAATTTCTCAAAATTGTAGTAGTTTTAAAATTATGTATACTATCCCGTACCCAGGGGATTTTCTGTGCAAGATCTGAAATTCCTTCATTATTACACTAGCTGATTCTCATACCTGAAATTCGTCATTTCATATCTGAATAGGATTTTGAAAATTTCAGAGCTGAAATTTGGACCTTAAATAGAAAATTTCAGATCTGAAATAATCTTGAAAAACAAAACTTCAGACCTGAAATTAGATCTGAAAAACCTTTTGTTAAATTATAAATTATGCATTTCGAGTACACCTATAAATTTTATTTTTTGATGTTTCTGCAATACACAATTATGTTTTTTTAACTAAATTTGTCTTTAAATCATCGCAGTTTAATACTTCATTTTACTGTTTTTTTTTACCTCAACCGTACCCCCCCCCCCGTTTTCCTACAGCCAACCCCCTCCAGTTTACACAGCCCCCCACCAGCTTACACCCCCCCCCCCCCCCATTTACACCACCCCTTTACTTGGCTTGGGGGGTTGAGGTAAAAAGCTTGAGGGGCGAGGGAATGACGTTGAGACATCGCCTTTAGTAAAAGACATGGCAAAAACAATCGAATTTAGTTCTAAAAATGAAATGGATTATAATCAATTATAATGGAATTTTATTTCAAAAATAATCTATTGTAATGGATTATCTGGGCAAAAAAATTCGATTTCAGTGACAAAGATAATGGACTATAATCGATTATAATGGATTATTATTTTTTCGAAAACAATCGATTATAATGGCAATATAATCGATTTCGCGGTCTGAATTTTACATCTGTAATGGATTATAATGAATTATTTTTGTCTCGGGAATCCATTAAAATCGATTAACATGGGGTAATTACTTTGGCTATGTGTGACATTAGAAGACGCAGTATTTAAAATAGACATTTTAACCAATTTTATGGCGATGGAACAAAATTCAGTGTTTAAGAACAGTCTATTCGTTTATAATTAGTCCAAAATCATGTCAAAAATTTTGATGATGCAACTCAGTTGGTTGTAAGGTTTTCACGCAGAGGCGAAGCCCTCAAGCAAAAAAGCGACTAAAGATCGTGAGCTTCAAAAGGCATAAAAACGCAAATTTTGCATGTAATAATTTAAAATGTAATGAAGTAAAGGCAACCACACACTTTATGCATGTATTCATTACATTGAAATATATAGAGCCATTTTTTGTAAAAACTAGCAAAATATTATGAGTTCGAATTTTCTGAAAAGAAAACTTCTGCTAATGAAAAATAAAACTTCTGTTATTATGAGTTTAACTGCTAATGCAGCCTCCTGATTCAGGCATATAAAGTGGCACTTGCGACTTAGGTTGGAAAAAAATTACAGTGTACTATCCATTTACACTCTGCTTCTGCAAGCAACATGCTAATCGACACGCATGCTAAAAGGCCAATCTCTCGTTTTATAAAAAAAATGCCTTTTTCGGAGAAGCAGAAATGAGAAGGTGTAAATTTCATCCCAATTAGGTCTCGGCAGGACGCTGAAAAATGTGCCAATAGTTCTCTTTGATTCTGATTTTTCGGCATATTATTATCTGTTTAGTTCACAACTCCTTTCATAATTCATTATGATTTTTGAACTCAAGGGGCACTTGAAAATTTCTTACTGTTCTAATATTCGCAGATGTTTTTTTATTTAAAGCAAATGAGCTCCAATTTGACAAAAACGTAAACATAATGAATGATTTAATAAGTCACTTGAAAAGCCTTTGAAATTCAACAGATCAAACTTGAGAGAAAAGGGAGTTATTTCGAGAAAAATCATTTGAACTCATTCTCCGAAAAAAAAGAATTGGTCGCAAACAATAACTATTCTTTCGCATAAGCTGAGCGAACAATCAAAGTTTTTTCGGAGCTGAAAAATGGATAAAATGAAATTCCAAAGAGATGCAACGAAAGTATCAGACATTTCTGAGCCAGAAAAAATGGATTCTAAGAGCTCAACTTCTTTGAAAGCTCTTTGGTTCCAGACAACAAGTCACATGCTATCAGTCATATTACCCAATCTTCTTACGGGTTCTTGGATTCTAAATGTAGTTTGGAGTTTGATTTATTTTTTCTTTGTGGGTGTATTGATTTTCCAAACAACCGAAACTCTTAAGGACTATTTTTCACACCCAGTCACAGTTGTAATAAGTTTGGAAACTTCCAATGATGAGGTAATATTCCCTACTGTCACTATCTGCAACAACAACATCTTACGTAAGTCTTACGTAAGACGTATTTCATACCTGCAAGATCTCGCATTCCTCGATGACCTTATTCAGGCAGCAATTGACGCTGAGTACGAATTCTTTGAAATTGATCAAGACATATGTGGTACGGGACTTTTTGAGTGCAGGAACCGAAAATGCATCCCAAACGCATGGGTGTGCAATGAAAGATCCGAATGTCACGACGGCTCGGACGAATCTCCGAACGTCGATTGCAGGAAGTTTCCGAAACGAGACACGAACCAAACGTGCACGACTGGATATGTTTTGTGTCCGAAAGAAACAACATGTGCAGAAAAATGTAACGGAGTGAACGAATGTGTTATGGAGCGCGGGTACGACGAATCGGAAGCTCTAGGGTGCCCAGAGTCGTGCATTCGATCCTTGGAGGCCACCGAAACGATCCAAGAACTCTCTTCAAAGAAGTTCCCAGATTCATATGTGAACAATTTAGAATGTATATACACTATCAACGCTGATATAGGCAATGTGATTGAAATTGAACTAAAAAACTTTACGGTTGAATTCCAAATTTATTGCAGTTTTGACTACATGAAGATCCGAAACGGCGACGAGCGATCAAATTCGTGGTTCAAGCTGAACGGAGACACGAAAATGTGCGGAAAAATTGATGATAGAAATACTGTTTTGATCTCGAACTCAAATACAGTTATAATTTACTTCAACACTGATTCAATGGACGTAGAAACCGGTTGGCTATTGACATATAAAGCTTCGAATGCGAGTAATATCTCAAAACGATCACTAAGTGAAAACTCAAACGAAGAAATCTCGGAAGAGAGCCACGAAACTTCAACGAATGACTTGAAAGGCGGAGCTTCTTTTGATGGTATAAATTATCATGACTGGTACATGGCCTACATGACATCTGTAATGCCTGATTACTCCGATTTCAGAGCATTAGTTCAATTCAAGCAAGCTGCAATCATCGGAAACGGACATCAAGCGCAGGACTTTATAGTGCAATGCGGTTTTGACGACCAATATTGTAGCGCCGAAAACTTTAGGACACATCAGACTTCTGATTTTGGAAACTGTTTTAGTTTTAACTCCGTGGAAAGAAAACAAAACGAGATTCCATTAAGGACTAACAACACTGGAACCAAATTTGGTCTAAAGCTTTCGGTCTTTTTGGACAATGAGGAGTATTTAGGGATATCTGGACAATCGTTGGGGGCGACTTTATTCATTTCAAATCCTTACGAAAAGCCCCCAATGGATACCGAACCTATTCACTTAGCACCCGGACAGAAAACAACTGTTTCATTGAGCCAAGAAATCGTCACCCGACGGACGCAACCGTTCTCGGATTGTTCGCCATCTTGGCCGGATACTCTGAAACTGAGCAAAAATTACAGATCCATTGATTACTCGGTCGAACATTGTCTGTACGTCTGTCTGCAAAACCAGATCGCATTGACATGCAACTGTTCGTTTTTAACCGATACGGCCTACAGCGATGATTTGGAAATCAGGAAAAAAGCGGCTCTGCATTGCGACGCTTGGAAAACTCCTCAAAAATTGTGCGTTGATTCAGTTAGCACTGCTTTTCAAGCAACGCGGGATTTGTGTAAGTGCACACAACATTGTCGGAGACGAAACTTACTCGTTGATACTTCGTCATCCGATTGGCCCTCGGCAGCTTACGCTCCTTATTTAGCAACTATGTTGCAAAAGTTTCCCTCAATTGTCGTGAAAGAATTTGTCAGAAGAACCATCGCTCAGTCGAATGGAATCTCCAGCGACTTGAAGTCTATAATGCAAGAGAACTTTGCGAGAGTTGAGATCTATTTCAAGAGTCTGGATTTTTTGAAAATTGAGGAGACGCCAATGTACAACACGGCCATGCTATTCGGTACCTTGGGTGGAAATTTGGGACTGTGGCTCGGTTGGAGCATCATGACTCTTTTTGAACTGTTTCAATGGGTGTACGTTTGTATCAAGGTTGCTTTCGTTCGAAAGTAAATCGAAATCTTGAAAAACTACGAATTTCTAAGTCTCAAAAATGTTTTAAAAAACCGCACTGTTATGTCAATTTGAAAGCGAAATGCTTAGTTTTACCGTTTATATTGCATGATCAGGGTTGCAAAAACACGTTTCGAGTAAAAAAAACGTTTTAAACCTGTTTTAAACAAAAAAAAATAATGAAATTATAAGCTGTCTTTGTACCGTACTTTTCCAAGTTTAGTTCTCTTTTCATTTCATATCAAGTAGGATCGACTCCAATAAAGTCGGATACAAAAACGAAAGTAGCAAATGAATAATCCAGAATAGAAATACTTTACCTTTTCTCCGATACCTAGTTCACGAAATCCATCGAGGAGATTTTTACATTTTAGTTAGTCGAAGCACACAAGAAAATCTGCCAATCAGGGGAAGTCGTTTTAAACACTAAATTAATCAATGTTTTGAACATTGCGTTAAACGTGTTTTAAACAAGACATGTTTTAAACTTTGCAACCCTGTGCATGATTCAAACAAAATTGCTAGCCAAATTCCATTCTAACTATATTTTCAATCAATTTTTTTACCCTGCATTTCGATATAAAGCTTGCCATTATAACCCCTCATTTTATACAAACTCTACTATGGCGGTGCTACAATACTAGTATCGATGGTTGTAATGGAAACAACCAAATAAAGTACAAAAAAAGCGTTGGAGATGATTTAGAGATGAAATCGAACCGCAGAAAAAAAAATTTATCACTCTACTACTTAACACAGACACTTGCTTATTTCCCACAGATACAAAGCGCGCTTCGCTAACATGCCAGATGAAACTTAAGAAATAAGCTTTGATTTAACTAGAAAAATTTCAAATTTGTGTTCCTAATTGTCGAAAAATACTGGTTTAAATTTTTCGCTTTTCAGAATTAATTAGATGAAGACTGACATTTTGTCAGTACAGGCTGGTCTTCAAGTTTCTTGCTAATGCAACTTTATAGTTATATTGGCTATTAATTACCACGTTTTCCTGCCTTTTTCACGTGATTGAATTTCCCCTTCTGGAAAAAAACTTTTCTGTATTTTCGAGATCTTTCTTCAATCAGTGTGGTCAAAAAATTATGTGCTACTTCCACAGCAGCCGGGTATCCTTCTTGGATGAGGGTATCTGTTTGGAAAAAAAGTGGATGATCTTACGATTACACTACTTTGCTAGCAAGCCTGCTAGTGTAACAAACCAAAGCTCAGCCAAAAAGTCCAGAAGCACGAAAAACAGTACTTGTACATCATATACTTAAAATAAGCTCAATGCAAATAGTGCAATTTAACGAAATTAAAAAAATGACATTGTCTTTATCTACAACAATGCACGTGTAATGCAGCCCGCTGATTGCGCAAAAAAAAGAATCACCCAGCTTTTTCCTTTCATAAAAAAACATATTAGGCTAATCTCCTAGCTTTTTTCTTTCATAATAAAATATAATAGGCTGAGGCTCTTTCATTTCAATGTTAAATGACTGAAACTTTTTCATAAAAACGAACCCAATTAAGTTTCTTATTCTTATTCCAAAAAAAAAACGTAATTAATATTAAAAACTGAAATCCAATCAAAAAAATTTTGCCATTTCCACCTGCAAAATTGACATCTTTTTTTTTCAAATGTATTTGAGCTGAAAATAAAGAACCAGAAGACAAATCAAACCGCTGAAAATAGAATTGAGCGTGAAAAAACTTTACAAATTTTCAGAAAGATAGCTAAACCGCTAAAAACATTGAATGGTTTGCTTTTTGTTCATTGCGCATTTACGTTTTTAAAAAGATTTGAATTGATTCGCGACTTTTTTGAAGAAAATACCTGGCAACGATTTGTAGAAAATCCTTTTTTGAAAAAATGAGTAGCGAATTGTTTCTTTTCTTTTCCAGAAAAAGCTCTGCTGCAATTTACATACATTTAAAGACGCTTTGCGGTGATTTGTTCCTTTATGTAAATTCAAATAAGCTTTGCAGTGATTTGTTTCTTCTTATGGAAAAAATCTTCGCAGCAAAAAATTTGCTCTTTTGAAATTTTTTTGAAAAAAGTCATTGCTGCAATTTGTACGTTTTCATTTTATCTAAAAAAACTGTTTTGCAGTGATTTATTCCTTTATATTTTAATTCGCTTTTAAAAATCTTAAATATTTTAATCTTCAAATATACTAACTCTTCTCTCTTTATTCAAAATTTAAGTCATTTCCATGTTTCATTCTGCCACAGAAGTCGCATTCGTTGTAAATGATTAAATTGGCCTGCCACATTGACACCCGGTACTCTCTTCATGAGAAAAATCGTGCTGACCTTTCACAACAAAAATTATAAAATCAATCTTTCAAAGTTGTAATTTTCTTATGATACACTCATCTTTCTGGTTTAAAACTTTACCCTCAAAAAGCGACCTCAGATACTTTTTATCTTTTGAAAAAATAATTCTTTAGTTTTTTCAAAAATGTTCGAAACTTTTTAATCTCTTATGCAAGTTTTGATTGTCTTATTCTTATATTCTTCTAAATCGCTGAAAGCAAAATTGCCATCATTGTAACTCACAATTGTAACTGCAAAAACTCCCTTTCTCTCTGAGTTTTGGATAAAAATCACTTTTAATTTTCCAGTATCCTTGTATTCGTTTTCAATTTTAAGGTCATAATTTAAACTTCAAAGAAGGTGAATACCAGGGAGAAAGCAGCAAACCTAAAAACTCAAAAAACTACTTCAAAATGTACTTCAAAAAATCAATTATAGTTTACTTTAGTGCAGCAAGTGCTGCACCGGGTCTCTAGTTAGCACTTTTAAAAGAAAAACATTTAATTAACATACAATTCAAACTAATAAAAAATCTAATTTTTGATATGAATATTTCATACACATATAAACAACAATTAATAAAACTTTTCAATAGCGACGCTAAGCTCCTTTTCCAAGCAAAATGGCACGCATAAATTTATTACAGGCAAAACAAGTTTACAGTTCGGAATGCTTAAAACGAGCAGTTGCCAATTCTCTAAATTCCTGAATATGCCAAATGCTTTCTGAAAGCTGGGCAAATGCGTTGAATAAGGCCACGATTTCCGTTCGGCTTAAAATTGGCGCAGTTCCATTTATTTTGGGTTCCCTTGTAATATCCGAAAACAAAATCTTCAAAGCAGTTCCCAGGCCTTGAACTTGTATCTTGCCCCAAAGTTTACATTTATCGCATCCAACGCAATCCATGATTCTGGAAATATTTCTGAACTGCGTTTTGTACACTTCTTTCAAAGATTGCACTTCTTTATCGCGAAAAAGCGTCTGTTCGTCAAAATGCTTCGGAAACTTCACAACACTATCTAGCAATGACTTTATCAATGTTTTCGTTTCTGCGTCTGTTTCAATAACGTTCGTAAAGTACCTCAAATTAGACAAAACTGGCACCGCTTTCAGTATGGCTTTCATTTCTACCAAATAAAGAAAATAAATATTCTTCAGCCTTTGTGGTCCTTCATTGTTACTCAAAGCGGGGTCAAATCTTTGTCTGAATTCTGTAAAATTGTGACCGAAGCTAAGTTCGCCAAAAGGCCCTTTCTGTAGATATTTAGCAGCCAAGTGAACGCTTATACTAGCATGCAACCCAGAAATTAGTCGATAGAAGACTCGCTTTTCAGTACAAACACCAGCCATCGTATATGAATTGAGAATCTCAGTAAACTTTTGAGTTTCGAGTTCCTTTAGAGAGTTAGACTTTGGAGTAGCTGGTTCAGTTTGTAAATGCAGTGATTCAGACTTGAAACAGTTTTCACCATAAATCGAATTCCACACTCGATGCGCACTTGATCCAGCATACCCAGTGTACCTGTAACAAATTTAGTGTAATTTATGATCAACACAAACGTCCAACAAAGGATAAACGGTTACTGTGCAAGTAGCACAGAATCTTCCGACTAAGTCTTGGCGTCGTTTTTTCTGCGTGGTGTGAGAAAAAAGGCAGTATGAAGAACAAGAGCTTCGGCATATTCGACAGTCATAGTAAAATAAGCAAACTGGACAGCAAACTTTGTAGATGAATACTTGTGGACCTGATTTTGCATGGAAAAAAAAACTGGATAATTTATGGTGGGATCTGATTTTGCGTGGAAAAAACACACACCCAAATACAAAGTTCCTCCCCATTTTTTAAATTATCTCCAAACAACAAGCTTTACTCATTATGCTTTAAAAGGGGTGAGCACGGTGCCCGAAAAAAAGCTGACTGCGAAAACTGTTGTCTCAAATCATTGCTTCAAAATTTGTTTTTCAGAACAATGATGGAAAATAATCCCTGAATTTTTTCTAACTATCCTGAATTTCAAAATAACAAACTACTTGATTCACTTTCTCTTATTCGTTTCCGGACACAAAAAATCATGCATGAGTAATATCATCTTAAACTAAACTAACCTTTCTGGATTTAGAGTTAGGTCCACATAGTAAGCTTCGGGGTCCGTCTCATTCTCCAAGTAACAGAAGCTATCATTCAGCTCATCGTGACGCTCCCACACAACGAATTCTTTCAACATTTTTTCTGTTATTGTACCGTCAATACTACCCAATGCTTCTGCGTCATCAATGGCTTGTTTTTCTTTCTGTTTATCAGAGGGACACGGTGTCTCGCTTTTTGTACTTCTATCTGAGCTATCGTTTGGAATGCTATTGGCTCCATCATTATTTCCAGGATTCAAAAATTGAGGAGGGAGTTTATCGTCTGGACAAGTTTCAACGGCACAATCTCGCAGGACACAAGCACCATCGTCAGGCCAGAACTCGCATTTTTTATTTAGGTTGATTTTGAAGAACTTGAAATAATCCCTAAGCATAACCGGTTTTTCTGGTATTAGGAACCCTCAACTATCGTCGATAAAAACCAAACGACAGCTGAACATTGTCACGTTTTTGAACACTACCACTTGACCAGAGCCTTATGACGAAAACTATTTGATTTGAGTTCTTAATCGTTGACAAGAACGCAAAAAAATTACCACTTTCTTAGCAAGTAATTGACTTTCTTAGCAAGTAATTGACTTTCATACTTTGTTGAACAAAAAACAGCTCACACTAAATAGTTTCAGAATTTACCTATATGTCAACTCGCGAAGAGCTGGATAGATAAGTCTAGAATTGTACGAGTCGATGCTTTCGACGTCACATCCACAGTCTCCTAGTCCTCCAGATACTTGACAGAGACAATCCTGGATTCCTAACCAGTCCTTTTCATCATCTGAAAAACTCTTTTTGGCGGGTTCAGCGAACCATGATACAGCAAAGCTTACGTGGCAAAGCAGAATCAGAACGCAGCTCCTTTTCAAATGCCAAGGCTCCATACTTTAAGTGATCGATATGTGTCAGTTCTCATACATTTCGTTGCATTATATGGCCCACCTGAAATACGAAACCCAAATGAACGTCTTCCTTTTGTTCTCAGAAGGTCAAAAACATCACGGTAAAAAAATTAAGATCGGAAGTCAATCATCACGACCTCGAGTCAAAATCCTCGCAACTTCAAAAATCGAAAATTATAACAATAATCTAAGAAATTATGCACAGATTAATATTTACGTAGGGGAGGGTGCACTGATCAACGCTTTAACACTACAGTGTAACATTCGCCCGGAAGTACATATCGACGTTAAATAAAGCTAGATTCTAAAACGACTGGCCAGCGTCTAAACACAGCTCTACATGCTTTTCACCGTCTCTGTCAAAGCCAGTTTTTTGGTGGTTTTCCTAACATCGGGTCAGGGTATCCCGGGGAATATCCCCAGACCACGACGTCACTCCTAAAAACAGGGCTACTACTATTTATTATATTACTATTGTTTGTGTTCAGTAGATAAAAATCATCTTCTCCATAGAGGATGGATTAACCTTTTCCCTCACCCCTAGCTTCTCATTATCTGACAATGAATCGGGATATTAATTAAATTCAATTCAGTGCATGACCAGGAAGCTAAAAGTTAATCGATAATAGTTTGAGTCTTGGGCCCGAGACCCCTCCGGATTCTGGAATCCGGGAAAATAGCACTCCTATTTCCTTCCGGAAGGCTTGACACGCCGTCCCAACACCCTTCCTTGTTCTTGTGAACTGCTCGGTAACGATTGTAGCGGCACAATCGTATCAACTCGGAGTGCTTTCTAACAAATTCCAGTTATAATTTCATTCTGTCGCTGTTTTCTCGTAGTTGTTTTCACTGCCACTATTGTTGTTCTGTTTCGCCGTTTCAGTGTGTGCGATATAAAAAGGTTACGTGTCGTTCACGTCTAAGTTTTAAAAATTAGCATGTCAGTTGAAACTAACCCTTCGCAATTTGTCTAATTGTTCAAAAAAACGTCGCTAATCCGTTAAAACCATCTATTTTCCAGGTTAGATGTTCTTTTACTGGTCGATCAAAATTCGAATGCAAAAATGCATTTTCGTACGTTTTGGTTGAATGTAACACAGTTCGTCAAAGCAGAACAAACTAATCAAAATAAATTTGTTGTGGGCGTAATTTTTGAGATAAAGTTAGTAGATAGAGACGCAATGATGGTGGCGTGTCACGGAGCCGAATACCCGAAAAATAAATTTGTTCCAGGATAGCCGAAAAAAATGCGTTGCCTGGATAGCCGAAATTTTGGATCTACTTAACAATTACCCGCCTTCTACCCCCTTACCCATTTCTTAATAGGAGAGGGAAGAGGTTCGTTTGTAGGGGGTATAGTAAAAGAGATCCTACAAACATTGTTTTCTTATTTGGGTTTTTTGCCCCCTTTCTCTACCCCGCCCCCCCCCCCCCCCACACACACATTCTGATCATTCTTCCTTCCCACTCCCTTCACCTCCTCACAAATACCCCCTTCCCCTACCCACATCATATTTACCCCACCATGCTAAAAAATAAATAAACAATTAAGGGACCCAAACTGAGAGCCCAAATTAAGGGTTCCCAACCGAAAATATAATCGAGTATGAAATTAATAAGAAACTTAAAATGTTAATTCAAACGTTTTTGCACATTTTTTGCATCATCAGGATTTGAAAATTTATACAAAATTACAAAATGATCAAAAATCTGAAAAATGAGAAACATGTCTGAAAATGCTTCAAAGTTTTTTGACCAATCAAATTAAAAAAACTGTAATTACTTAATAAATTATGAAATCATTAACAACGTTTTCCTGTCAATTTTCGAGATTTTTCAATTTTTCGTTTTTTCATGCTTTTAAAATTTCGATTTGAGAATATTTTTGATTCTGACATGTCAGAATTTTAACTTTTAGCCATGATTTACATAGATTTTAATTTTAGTGTTAATTCTCAGCTCCTGAATTCATCGCGTGTGTTGATTCTCGGCCTCTCCCTCCAAATATGCAAAGCCTCTAGTGTGAGTAGTTGCTGAGTGTTGGCTGTTTGGTCTATAATCTCTGACTTCAGCTCATCAGTACCGCCTAACTGCTTATTACATTCTTACAATGGATGCCCTACTGAGGAGTCCCCTTTGCAATTTGATTCACCCTCGTGGCTAAATGTCGGACTGTCTGGCCGACATATGTGAAGTAACATCCACTTCATGTAAGCTTATAAATCCCTTTGCATGTCAGTTCACGAGCAAATAAAGTTTTGAGGGATGGCAAGCATGTTTTCAGTTTTCTTGTTGTAAAAAGTATTTCTGCCCCGGATATTTGCCAATCCTCTGCAGCTAACAGTTAAGGTTGATTGCCTCGATATTGCATTGTAAAAAGGGGCTGAGTCTTTCAACCATTTTTCATTTCTCGGTTCTGGTGCCGTCACCTCCAACATGTAGTGGAAATGCATCCACTATATGTAAGCTTATACATCACTTTAGATCTCAGTTCACGCGCAAGGGATGTGTTGAAGACTTGAAGAATCTTAAGCATGTTTTCATTTTTTTGTTGTTATAACTATTTGTGCCCCAGATATTTGTCAAGACTCTGCAGCTAACAGTTGAGATTGGTTGCCTCGATTTTGAATTGTAAAAAGGTGGGTGAGTCTTTCAACCATTTTTCATTTCTCGGTTCTGGTGCCGTCACCTCTAATTTTTTTTGTTCAGTGTCAAAAATTTCCCATGTTGAGGTACTTATGAAAAACATATAGACCGTCCCTTCAAAAGCGTTTCTTTTGTATTGCAAAGGTGCGCAACCTCTGAAATTTAGAATGGTGCCGATATCAGTGGGTTTTTGGTACCACCCACCCGAGACTTTTTTTCTGAGTCCATGTTGACATTTAAATCCAAATAGGCCAAAATATCCTCACTATCAAGTTCTTCTATGGTGAACTTCAAGTTTGGATGCAACTTATTATTAGCCTAAAGGACTACCCCAGGGTCACCCTTGACAGTTCTAATTATGTCGTCCAAAAATGTTAGAAAACTGTAATTACATAATAAATTACAAAATCATTAATAACATTGTCCTGTAAGTTTCTGAGAACTTTTAGTTTACTGTTCTTTCATGCTTACAAAAATTCGATTCGGGAATATTTTCGATTCTGATATGTCAATTTTTAACTTTTAGCCATGTTATATGTAGATTATAATTTTAGTACTATTCACCAGCTCCTGAATTCATCGCATGTGTTGATACTCGGCCTCCCCCTCCAAATATACAAAGCCTCTAGAGTGAGTACTTTATGAATGTTGGCTCTTTGGTCTATAATCTCTGACTTCAGCTCAGCAATACCCCTTACGCCCTCATCACATTCTAACAATTGTTGCCCTACTAGGGAGTCATCTTTGCGGTGTTCATCGACCCTCGTGGCTAAATTTCGGACTGTCTGGCCAACATAGATGGAGTTAGATCCACTACATGAAAGCTTATACATCAAAATAGATATCAGTTCACGAGCAGAGTAAGGTGTGTGGGATGGCAAGCTTGTTTTTCATTTTCTTGTTGCAAAAACTATTTGTGCCCCGGATATTTGCCGAGCCTTTGCAGCTAACAAAACTGTTGGATTGCCTCGATATTGCCTTGTAAAAAGAGGGGTTGAGTCTTTCAACCATTTTTCATTTCTCGGTTCTGTTGCCGTCACCTCCAACATGTAGTGGAAATGCATCCACTACATGTAAGCTTATACATCACTTTGGATCTCAGTTCACTAGCAAGGGATGTGTTGAAGACTTGAAGAATCTTAAGCATGTTTTCAGTTTTCTTGTTGTAAAAACTATTTGTGCCCCGGATATTTGCCGAGCCTTTGCAGCTTACAAAACTGTTGGATTGCCTTGATATTGCCTTGTAAAAAGAGGGGTTGAGTCTTTCAACCATTTGTCATTTCTCGGTTCTGGTACCTTCACCTCTAATTTTTGTCTTGTTAGGAGTCAAAACTTTCCCAGGTTGAGTTACTTCTGAAAACCCTATGGACTGTCACTTCAATAGGGTTTCTTTTGTTTTGCAAAGGTGCGCAACCTCTGAAACTTAGGTTGATGCCAGTATCAGTACATTTTTGGTACCGCCCACATGTGACCTTTTTTCCTGAGTCCACGTTGACATTTAAATCCAAAAAGGCCGAATTACCGTTACTATCAAATTTTTCTATGTTGACCTGCAGGTTTGGATGCAACATTTGGCAGCCAAGAGGACTATCCCAGGGTCGCCCTTGATAGTTCTAATTATGCCGTCCACATATCTTAGAATACCATTCTCAGTCCGATCTGCTTTTGGTTATTTTTTGCAAGTAATGCCATACCATTTTGTTTCAGCGATATCTGCTCATTCGGATTCCGATATGTTACCACACCCTAAGTGGTACCAATTCGAACAACTTCGCATTCTACCACTTCTCATTCTCCATCATCCGCCCTTGTATAATGTTAATGCAGGGTGGGATCTAGGATTTTCTCGACTGGGGAGGGGGTTGACAAATGATTAAAAAAACAGGCTAAAATGCCGTTTTTGGGATTTGAAAAAAATTGACCACAAAAAAGCGTTGGCAGCGTGTGCTGCCCTTTAAAATAAGCATATATTGAAAAATGTTAGGCTTTGTCGGCCGAAATTGAATATCTTAAAACAAACCAAAGAGGGACCGTTTGGTTTTTGAGGGGGTCGAATCGAATCCCTTGTAGTAGTCAGACTTTTGCTGTTGATTATTTCAATGATAAAAAAAGTATTAGCCAATCAAATCTCTTAAGCATGTTCAAAATTTTGTTAGCTCCAACAGACTGCAAAATTTCGAGACATATTTTGTCCAATCAAATTGCGACTCAATTTCATGAAGAGTTTTCCATTTTATTTAAATAAAACCTGAGGTATTCTGTTTTTATGCTATTCGGGACTGCGGTTCACAGGGAACGCACCGCAAAGATAGAAAAACATAACATGGAACCCGGGACAAGAACTCAAACCGCCAGCTGCAGATAGTATTCGGCCCTTTAAATGATTTTAGAGACTAGGCCTGTCTTTATGGGGGAAAG